CAGCCAGGCCGGTCTTCTCCCCCGCCTGCTCGGCTTACGGCACATGGGGACGGCCTGCTCCTGCGCCTTTGAGACTTCCTTCTTGAGTAACATCCAGCCTTCCTGGACTCCTTTGCCCTTCAGGACGGCCTCCCAAGGGACTCTGTTCACCAGGCTCCTGAACAGGCCAAAATCTGCCTTTCTAAAGTCCAGGGTAGTGGTTTTGCTGACCCCCCTCCTTACTTCTCCAAGAATCAAAAACTCTACTCCCCCTCCCCTTGCTGCTGCACCGTCCCAGCCTGCTGAAGGAGAAATGCTCCAAAGCCAAGGGAGAGGAAGAATTTCAGAAGGAAGAGTCCTTTGCACTTAGACCTGGCTGACAAAAGAAAAGATATTTGGGGAGATATTTGCTGTGACACTAATAAAAGGCTCTGGGGGCACCGCCGTACCCCTGGGCCCATCCCGCCCCCAGCTGCGGGCAGTTGGCATCATTTTTGCTGCGGAGAGCACAGCCTGTGCGTGCGTCTCCCCTCCCTCCACCCGCAGCCCTGGCCAGCGGCAGGACCCAGACGGAGCCAGCATACGGACCGAAGGCAGCTTGGGGTGCACGATGCTGTTTATTGATATCAGGCAGCAGTGAGATACAGGAACCGGGTACCGGCGGGCGGGGAGGGCGGCGGGGCCTCGGCAGAGCCTGGTGGGGAGCGGTGGTCCCCCCCTCCGGCATTGCGGGAGGCGGGAGGGGGGCAGAGCTTGGAGAGGCTGCGCAGGCTGGGATGCGGGGTGGAGAGAGGGGCTTAGGACACCAGATGGGTTTTACCTCCGCTCCGTACATGTATTGGAATTTCCCAAAGGCAATGCTCATCCCAAAAAGCCGATGGTGTGTGCAATGGGAACACGGTCCTCTGGGGCACGTTCCCCTTGGGGGAATGGTGCCCGAGGAACTGGGATGGGCTGGCAGGGAGGAGGAAAGCCGTGCTCTGACGCACTCCCCACAGAGCATCCCTCCCCTTGGTGGTGCCCCTGCTCTCCTCTTCTGCAGGGGGCAGAATTAGACCACGAGAAGAGATACTGCAGACATTTATTAATCTGGTTACTCAAGGAAACCCTCAGCCTCTGTCCCGGGGGCCTTAAGCAGAGCAATGGAAGAGCTTCAACAGGCTGGGGCCAGCCTGTCCATCGTAGTGTCATTGCTGCGTGCCGTGTTGTTTTCCGGCTCCTCAAAGACCCTCTGGAAGGCGACCCGGAGGGACATTAAGGAGCAATGCCTCCGGCAGCTCCCCACCAAGAAGTAGATGAAGGGGTTGATGCTGCTGTTGATGCAGGCGAGCAGGAAAACAACCTGGTAGGGCACGACAGTGTAGCTGAACTGCTGCAGGAAATTCCAGACGCTGAGGGGAAGAGCGAAGATGAGGAAGAAGAGGATGGTGAGGAAGATAACGATGTAGAGCCTCTTGGGTTGATGTCGCCTGGAGCCACACAAGACCTTAACGAACAGGATCACATTGGAAATGACCATGAGTGGTGCAAAGATGAGGAAGTTGAGGACGTACATGGAGATGAGAGCTATCTGGCAGTGCTCATGGTCGTGCAACAGGCACAGAGAAGTCACTGAAGCAATGACAGCGATGGAGAGGGCCCAGAGCAGGGCACACACCACGGCTGACAAGTGCTGGGGGCGGCGGATGCTGGAGTAGAGGATGGACACGCACCTCTCGATGCTGATGGCCGTCAGGAGGTACAGGCCCACATTGTAGGAGAAGAGCGAGAGCAGGAAAAGCGACCTCGGGTACATCAGAGACACAATGGGGGAGCAGGAGGCATTCTCCATCATGTAGAGGAGGGACGAGGTGGCCATGAAGAGGAGGAAGGTGAAGTCAGCGACGGCCAGGTTGAGGATGTAGACGGTGATGGGGTTCCTGCGGATGCGGCAGGCGAGATGAGCAGCTGGACACTGTCTATGGCCATGTCGGTGACGTCCATCCTGCACGGGTCATCTCCGTCGGTGGGCAGCGTGGGTAGTATAGGAGATGGGGACATGTGGTTCACCTCCATGGATGGACGCTGGGTGGGTGGTGGGACGTGGTCCCCGGCTGTGGTCAGAGTGGACAGGGAGTTAGCAGCTTGGAGAAACTGGGGCTGAGTCACGCAGCCCCTTGCCAGCTCCCTGCGCTGGGAAGGCATCAGTGGGGGGCAAGCGGGATGTGCTGGGGAGGGGAGCGGGGGACATTTTGGGGTGGGAGAGGGAGACAGGAGGGGAGGGAGAAGGAGGTTCACCAGGAGGTGCAGAAGGCAAGTGCAGGGCAGTGGGGAGAGGACGTGGGGAGAGCGCTGCCCGTCACTGGGAGAGGGTGGGAGGAATGTAGCTGCTGGCAGTGGATGCTGGAGGAAAGGAAGGTGGGATAGGGATGAAGGAAAACATTGCACTTAACTGTTAGCTTTGGTGAAGCAGCAGGCAAGGGCTGTCTTTCCAGCTGGGCTTGGGCAGATCAGAGTCAGTGTCTTGGCATCTCACGCTCCCTTCGGATTTATATCCTGAAGCGGATCCTCCCAAGACAGCTGCATGAAGAAGAAAGTCCTCCGGTCACCAGGAGGTCCCCGCTCTCCGTGCCCTGTCCCTGGTGCACCCCTCGGCAGTGCGCACCGCTCCCCCAGCCACAGTGGGATCGTAGGGAAATTGGGAATGGTTTTGTAACTGTGGCTACGTCAGGGCTCCACTTCCTTGTTTTTATTTATCTCACTCTTTTTTGCCAGAAAGGAAGCAGCTGCCTTCCTGCAGGTTTCTGCAATTCTTTATTTCTCCCCTGCCCGTCGCAGGGCTCCCTGGATCTCAGCATCCCCGGGGGGGCATCGCCCCTCCAGCAGCAGAGCGCGATGCTGGCAATGCTGGTGGTACTGGTGGTGTTGACGATGCCGGCAGTGCTGGAGATGCTGGCAGTGCTGGCAGCGCGGCTGTGTGCTTCTCAGAAGTGACTCCCCTTCTGGGAGGAGCACAGGGAAGATGGCCAAGCCCCACCCTGGGCCCGAAGGAGCACACCCTCAAACTGGAGCCTAGAATTCACATTTCTTATCAGTCTAATGCAGACTTTGACATCCCAGTTGAAGGACAACGAACAGTTGTTTTCAGCCAGGTTACAACGACACTAGCACTTAGAGCCCAGATTAATTATTGCTAATACCCCTTAGTAATGCAACGAAAGCAATTAGAGACCAGCTTTTGGAGTGCTGTGCTCCCCCTCCCAGCGGGCTGTTACAGTCAGCTGCAGCCCTCCCAGCTCTTCACCAGCAGCACATCTTCCTCCTCAGTCCTGGGAGCGCTTGTGGTTATTTTTTTACGTGATCCCACCCCTTTGGTAGCCCACACACCCCGGGACGTGGCTCCTGAGCTCGGCTTGGATGTTGTTAAACCCTCCTGTGACTCATGGCTCCTGCTCAGGGCTGAGCAGAGCATCTCCTTGGAGGTCTGGGCTGGCGGCACCGTCCCCTGGGCAGGTCCACGGGGACCCCAAGCCCCTCTCATCCACTGCACAATGTGCAAAGGGCTTAATGTTATAGCCAGTATGTTTTGTGCAATTAACATCCTTGCCGTGACGATTAAAGCAACAAAAGTGGGCCATAAAATGAGGCTCGTTCTTGCCTCAGCTGTGGAAGAGCTTCTCTGGCGGGATCCAGCGCCCCAAGGAGTGCCCTGCCTCTCCCACGGTGCCCTTGCAATTGGAAGGCACTTTTGGCTTCTCTCTTTGCTGCAGTGGCCTTCGGCTGCTCTAAAGCATACTGTGAATGCTTCAAATTGACTCCCAAAGACACCAGATGTGTCCCATTAACAATTCCAGTTTCAGCACTTTCGGTAAGGGCAGAGTTGTTTCCAAGGATTTTGTACCAAAGCCATTTCATGTCCAAGTCCCTTCCTTCAACGGGGGCTGTATTATGAAAGCAGACCCTGTCATCACCCCTGTTTCGTGCGAGAAGCCGAACCAAGCTGCACAAGCAGAGCCCATCACTGAGCCTCGAGCCCTGGGGATGCTGGCGAGAGCTGCGGGATTCTCCCCACTCCCTTCTCCTCCTGCATCCCCCAGCTAAATCCATCAACCGCATCCCAGCTTCTTGAAGGCAGGCAAAACCACCGTGGTCCCCGCAGCCACCACCGTGAGCCTTTGACAGGGCTGCTTTCCAGTTTGCAGAGTTCCTGGGCTTTGGACTCGGGGTGGACGGGGACGGTCTGGGAGCAGGCACGTACGCGTGCGCGGCTGTAGCACTGTGCATCGGCAGCGCCCAGAAGATTTGTGAATGAAACCTCAGGGATCTTAAGCATCCAGAAATGAACTACTCCAGCTGTCTTACCGAATTGTTCTGTGCACGTAGATCTGATTTCTTAGAAGTTATATGTTTGTTCCCGAAGAGATTATCGTGTGCTGACTTCAAGGTCCTTTTTTGGGGTTTTTGTCTATTTGTTCACTTTGTTTTTAAGGCTAAATATAAAATTCTGAGTCATTTTGAGTTGCGCTGGAGTGCTTCACCATACTGACCTGCGGGAGCGGGGAGGAAGCCTGGCGACTAACTACCTGGGCAGGCTGGCCGCAACCGAGCTGACCTCAACCCTGCTCTCAGCTCAGCTGGGCTTCCATCCACCTCCCTCCAGCCTCTCAGCTGGGAAATATAAATAAATATATCGCAACTGGCCGGAGACTGGGAATCCCCTGCTACGCGTGGGGAGGGCAGCTGAAAACATCACTGTCTTTTCAAATCAGTACACGGAGTTCAGAAAGAAATGGCCATTTTTTTCCGATGAGGTTTAGTGAAGCGGATGGAGAGTTTAGTCTGGGGACGATAGGAACCTGTTTTCTGCCTTTTGCTCTTTGCTGAGTCTCTTTGTTTACCTCATAAAGTGCGTATGAAGTGGAGATCTGGTTAAGCTCAGTCTTGGGGGTGTGATTTTTTTTTTTTTTTTTTGTGTGGTAGGGCTTGGGATGTTTTTGTTACAGGGCAAAGAAAGCAAATTTATCTTGTATTCATTGAACCTCTCCCACAGAAATAGCACCATCTGCACCGTCGCTGCTGGCGGTGGGAGGGGTGATTCATCTGAAGACGGGACAGTTGCAGTGAGAGGTCACTGGGCTCTGCACGATCCTCGTGGCCACCTCTTTCAGAAAGGGGAATTCTCCTTGTCATAACCCTCTTGTCATGAAGACAGCCTAGTGCAGAAGGGCACGTACTCTAACCAGCCTTTTACGAAGTTTACAGAAGACAGCAAAATTAAATCTGAATAAAGCCCTGGCTGTGTTTAACACACTCTTACACCTCAGGGAACAATTATTTACATAAACCAACAAATCCTCTCATTTTGTGCAATTCAAGCCAATTCTTAATTGCTGTCCTTTGAGCTTGAGGGAAGGGCTCCCTTCTCTCGTGACTTAGTGGTTTGGGATTTTTCTTTTTTCCCTGTGCAAATGCTTAAGGATCTGTGCCGTTTCTTTTCAATCAAGGCTGCGCCATGCGTGCGAATTCCAAAGTATTATCAGCAAAAAACCCCAGGGGAGGAATCACCCAGGACCCTCCTTATTGCTCTCATATCAACAGGCACCATCTCTCCTGCAAGTGCAGATATCGGTGCTTGCAGGGGCAGAGATGGCTCATTAACACAGGTTGGTAAGATTTTGCAGAGTTTTTCTCCAGATGTCTATTTTTATCTTAAGAAAACAGACCTTAAGCAGGCAGCATCACCCCTCGGTCGCGCAGAAAGGTTTGGCTGAAATCGGTTTGTGCTACATCTCCGCAAAATGGACTTCAGGAGCGCACAGCAGGGTTTTCTCAGCCCCCAAGTGCTGGCACAGCTCACGTCTCCCCAGCTGCTTCCACGAATTGCTGCCCAGCGGCGGGGGCTCCTCGGGACAGAGGGTTCACATGGTCACCCCTGCAAGATTGGTAGCCTGGGGAAAGCCAAAACAAAAGCAGAATCGTATTTGGACAAGTTTCAGTGAGAAAAATGCCTGGGGAGTGAGAGCTGTTGGGATGCTGGCAATTCACGGCTATGGATGCTGCGATGGGTCTCACCCAGAGCTGGGCATGGCACCGGTGCCTGCGGGCTCTGCCTTCCCGGGAGGAGGAGGATGGACGGTGAAGCCCACCCTGCAGCCGCAGAAGCCGGGAGGTACCATGCTGCAGACCCATGCTGATTCACACTGGCTGAAGATGGATTAAGAAAGTACAGGGTCATGGAAATCCGACTGAACAGAAGCTTTGGGAGCAACAGGGAGACAGAGCTGCAGTGCAGCTGCATTGCATTTAACACAGCCTGTTACCACCGGGGCAGGACATTTTTAGCTAATTTTAACATTGCTTTAGCACGAAAAAGCTACTTTTGGGTTGATTTTTGCAGAGGCTGAAGCAGAAGCCCCGCAGCAGCGCTGGGTGGGAGCTGGCAGGGTGTATTGCCCGCGGTCCTGCGGTGGGTGACCGTTCCCAGTCAGCCCAGCACATTTCTCCAGCAGGCAGGAGCTTCCCAAAGGATGCTCCGCCAGGACACCCTGCTCACTGCTCCACGGCCAGAGCAGATGCTGGGACTGTGCCGAGGAGGAATTTGGAGCAAGCTGGCCCAAAGGACTTGTGGTCGGAAGGACATTTGGCGCAAGGGCGGTGAGAGTTGGAGATGGCAGCGGTAATTATTGCAAGCTTCGGCAGCATCGTTATTCAGTGGGACACTTCGAGGCTCAGCATTAAGATACTTGAATTTTTCTTAGGCTATTTAAACAACCCTGGGTGAAAGCATTGCCTTTTGTTATCGATGATATATTTTTGTTACCGCCCTGTTAGAATTGTTTATAATTTTGTTCTGATTTCTTATAATTGTATGGGTTCTCTCTGATTGCTGGGTGGGTTGTAAGAAGATGTTTCTGCTGGGAAATGAGCGCCTCCGCTCGAGCCCTCCCTAGAGGCGCAGCGTGAGCTGCAGGCAGAGGAATGCCAATGAATTATGTTCCGTTCACACATATGTTCCTGTGGTTTGGTATTTTGTCCAGCTGGCCCTGAATACGGCAGAGATGGTAAAAGACCGTCCCCAACTCTGCTTTCTGCTTTTTTTGGGTTTTGCCCTGGGATCATAGTGATCTAAAAGGGGATACAAAGCGAATCAGGGTCTTCCAGGGACAAGCCGATCAAGACTTTTCCATGGTGGTGCTGGGAAGGGAAAGGTGATGCGCAGAGGAGATGCTGCGAGGCCATAGCCCCTGCTGCCCCGTGAAACCAGGCCCAAAAGAAATAAATTGGTTCCCTGTGACGGCAACCCAGGCAAAACCCAAGTGTTCGTAAGAGCTCGCTCGTGGGTCTGCCACGGGGGTTATTGCTGAGCACTGTGCGACTTCGGAGCCGGCAAAACTCCAGGTTTAATTAAAAACTGTGAGTTTGTTTCTTAATATTGTCCCTTGCTCCCCATTTTTGCCATAGAGAGAAGAAACTCAGACATTTAAAATGATGCCAAAAGGTGCCTTTAGGGACAACAGCGTGAGGGAACTTGTCACCCCTGCCTCCAGCACGGCTGTCACCAGTGGGAGTTACTAACCGCCAGCCTGTTGAAGAATCAGAGATTTTGATGCCTAAATGGCTGCCACAAGGTGAAATAAATGGGAGCTCAGCCCAATGATCATCAGCGTCACTGTGCCACTCGTCCTCGGGTGCGCCGCGACCCCCGGGTCAGGAGCTGCCGTCAGGGACTGCGTCCCCCGGCCTCGTGCACGCCCCTGCCCAACGCTCGGCAGCAGGGAGCTTCCCCACGTAGCAGCCCTCAACATTATTCAGCACGTTAATAATAACACCAACTTTTATTTATTATTTATTTATAGCTTAATTTGTCTATTTTATTTGTATTTATTTGTTATTTGCTATTTATATTTATTATTAGTTACTTATTAATTGTTATTTATTGTTTATCATTTATTTACTATTGTTTATCATTTATTATTTACTATTTATTCATTAATGTCTAACTGTTTATTATCGACAGTTTATTATTTACCACCTGCAGTTTACTATTTACTATTTACTATGTACTATGTACTATTTACTATTAGTAGTATTTATTATTTACTATTTGTTATTTATTTATCACATTAACATCATTTAGCATTTAACAGATATTTAACATTATCTACAAACAATTGGGAAACGCAGCCAAATAGATGCCGGGCGCATTTCTCCGGTGCCTCCGGTGCCACCGGCTAAGAACGAGCCCTCAGGAGGCACCGTCCCACGGCAGCCTCTGCCTTACGCTTGGCTCTCACCGTCCTGCTTATGGGCCCCATGACTCCCTCCTTTAATCTCATTTTCTGTTGAACCCTTCCTTTAAGCGTTAACCCTTCTGTTAAATCCTTCCTTAACTCCAAAAAAGAAGGGTGAGGGTGCGGCCCCTTTCCTGGTGCTGCCCGCGGTCCCCAGGGGAGCTGAAGCCACTTTTGGAACCGGCCGGTGGCTGGAGCAGCTCGGGGGCTTTGGAGATGCTGAAGAGCTGGGGCTGGACGGGGCAGATTGGCACCAGAGCTCTTCTTCGGTCCCGCTTCATTATCATTGAAATAAATATTATTTATTAAGGACCTGGGAGGAGCCCGGGTTTCATGCCAAATCAGGACTGTTATTTAACGTCAGGAGTATTTCACTCCCCGCTTGATCAAAGCCTCAGGGGAAGCAGGGTACCCCGCCAGCACGCCGCATCCCCTGCAGCCAGGCAGGATTTAGGATGGAGGTGCGGGCAGGGCTGCAGCCCGGGGCTGGACGGGATGTTTTCCCAGCCATTTGCATTTGCTTCCCCTTGCTCTGGGTGCCTCCAAGGATTTTTTCTGAGCTATTTGTTTAGAACTGCTGTACAGCAGACAAGGAAGCGGAACGGGACAGATCTCCCTGGCCCCGAAAAAGATGCTTGGAGCAGGGCAAAGGGCTGGAAAAAGAGGCTCCTGCCCTGCAAAGATCACTCATGAGCAACAGTCCCCTCCGAGGGCTCACGCCGCGTCCTGCAACCTCAGCAGGGGTGAGAGGTGAGGACGGGGCATGGAGCAGCCGCCCACTTGCTGGCATCAGAATTGGGCAGGTCCAGTGGTCGGCTGGGTGCGTCACACTGTCCCGCTTCCCTCCTGCCCTCCCCGCGGCAGGGGGTGATGGAGGCGACCAGCGGGGGAAGTGACAGTCAGTGGGCGTTGTGTCGCGCATCATTGCCCTGCGGTTGATAGGGAGCTGGTGGCTTCTGTGCGACAGCAAAGAGGGGACATTCACACAGATGGGAACCATGACGCATCTCGGGGATGTTGCAGCTGGGCGCAGAAGAGAAAAAGCGAATGAGAAGGAAGACGACAATTTCACACCCAACACGATGGCAGGTTTGCAAACAGGAAGCTTTTGAAGCAACCAGCAGATCGGTCTGCAACCCCCATCCTGTGAGGTTGACTCCTTGGCAAGCTGCTTCCGCTGGTCTCAGACGCAATGACTAAGCCCTAGCACATCTGAGTGCCCGCAGCCACCCACCCCTCAGCAGAAACCCGGAACCGCGCTCCCAGGGCCCATTTGGCTTCCAGCTGAGGAAGAGACAGGGTACCAGAGCCTGTACACGGACCATCGGAGGAACCTCATCATGGAGTTACCTTGTTCCTGGTGGCCAGATCTCATCTGGGAGGGTTTTGGCATGGCAGCTTTGTAAAATTTCACGTGCAAGTCTGACGGAGGGGACTGGAATGTGACGCTCTGGGATAGCAAGTCTGTGCAAGGACTCTGCCCTCACTGGACCCACCCCGTGACTGGTGAGAGGGGTCTGGAGCTTGCCTCTGCTCCTGCCTCTGGGGCACGCAGTTCTGCTCTTCCTTGGTCTTTCCATCCTTCTCGTTCACCTCCTCAGTGCTTTTCAGCCCTTAAAGGGCAAATGGCTCTGCGTGCCTTTTCTTTCTCCCTCCGCTCCTCTTCCAGCTCTCTGTCTGTCTCCTGCCACCCTGGGCCCAAGCTTTTCCTTCCTATTCCTATTCCTATTCCTATTCCTATTCCTATTCCTATTCCTATTCCTATTCCTATTCCTATTCCTATTCCTATTCCTATTCCTATTCCTATTCCTATTCCTATTCCTATTCCTATTCCTATTCCTATTCCTATTCCTATTCCTATTCCTATTCCTATTCCTATTCCTATTCCTATTCCTATTCCTATTCCTATTCCTATTCCTATTCCTATTCCTATTCCTAGCCCTATTCCTAGCCCTATTCCTAGCCCTATTCCTAGCCCTATTCCTCTTCTCTCTTCTTCTCTTTTCTCTTCTCTTCTCTTCTCTTCTCTTCTCTTCTCTTCTCTTCTCTTCTCTTCTCTTCTCTTCTCTTCTCTTCTCTTCTCTTGTTTTTTTTTTTTCTCTGCTCAGCTCTTATATTCCCTGGGTTGCAGATGTTGTAGCTCATGGAGGAGGAGGGAAGACTGAATGACTGAAGGACACTCACAGTACTGGCGACCTGAGAGTCACTAATTTTGCCTTCATCTCTTGCCTTTCCCCAGGCGAGCACAAGAGAGAAAGGAGAAAGATGGACCCACATCCCAACAACACAATCCTTGATGGGTGTACAGTGTCCCCAGTGCCTACGGATGGACACAATGGGACCAGATGCTTTGCAGAATACATCTCTGAAATCGTCACCGGTAGCATCACGCTGCTCATCTGCCTGTGTGGACTGGTAGGGAACGGGGCCATCCTCTGGCTCCTTGGCTTCCGCATCAGGAAGAACCCCTTCACCGCCTACCTCCTGAACCTGGCCGTCGCGGACACCTGCTTTCTCCTCTGCACATTGGCTTTCCTTGTAATATATCACATGCCCATGCTCACCTGCTTTCAGCCAGAGCTTTTGCGGGTGCTGCGGCTATTTCACTCCATGGTTCTGCTCATGTACAGCACCAGCCTCTACCTCCTCACGGCCATCAGTGTGGAGAGGTGTGCAGGTGTCCTCTGGCCCTTCTGGAGCCGGTGCCACCGTCCGAAGCTCCTGTCAGCCGTCACGTGCAGCCTGTTGTGGGTCCTCGCCTGTGTGTTTGCCGGGCTGGTGTACTTTGTGTGTGACCTGGATCACTCTAAACATTGCTGGACAGTTCTTGGAACATTGTGCTTTCTCAATTTCTGCTTTTTCACCCCCCTTATGTTTTTTTCCAACGTGATCCTCTTCATCAAGCTTAGGCGCAGCTCTTGGCAACAGCACCCAGCGAGGATGTACATTGTCATCTTCCTCACTGTTTTCTTCTTCCTCCTCTTTGGCATCCCGCTCAGTGTCCAGATCTTCCTCAACTTCTTTGTCTACATTAATTTTGTCTTTGAGATCTGCCTGTTGCTGGCCTCTGTCAACAGCAGCATCAATCCAGTTATTTACGTCCTGGTTGGGAGCTATGGAAAATCCAGGTTCAGGGGATCTGTCAAAGTGGCTCTTCAGAGGGTCTTTGAAGATAGGGCAGATTCCCAAGAGGTGGGTGAGACCCCTGTGATGGGAATTGCTGCCTAAACCCCCATGGCTGTAGACTGGCACCTGGAGAGGGGCAGCCCTGCTCTGCACCCCAGGCCAGCACCCACGGGAGCAGAGCTCTTGCCCGGCTGGGTGAGCAGGACTGGCGGTGGGTAGTCATGCGTCCCCCAGGACACAGCCACGCTCGATGAGATTTCCAGAGGCAGGGCTGGTTCCCACCTCAAGCTTATTTTTAAGTTATTTTTAATAAATGTCTTTCATGTAACTTACTGGTGATTGCAGTTTCTTCCCTTGCTGGCTCCATGGGGTGCCCTCGCTTGTTCTCAAAATTACAGTTGTGACAGTCCCCTCACGCTGCCCGCTAGTTTATAATGCTGAAATTATGTGGTCCAGAAAGTCCCGCATCATTTTTTTTCCAGGGTTAACACGGCCACACTCCTGGGCCCCGATCTGTACCGTGTCTGCTTCCCAGCAGGGAGATGTCCCAACTCCTCCTGCCTCTACCCTCTTCTGGGACCTTGGTGCCTGATACTAAAGCAGCCACCACTCACTACCTTGATCCTCAAAAGCCCCCAGACCAGAGGAGATGATGGTGAGGGACAGAAATGACGTTTTCAGCTCCCTCTGGCTTGATGCCCTCCTGTGCCACAGGCTGGCAGAGAAAACCCATCTCGGTCTGGCTGATGGAGCTGGCAGCATCAGTCAGCAGCCAAACCTTCACCCTGCCAAGGGGGCTTAAGCGGGGAGGCGGGAAAGGACAGGCAAAGAGGCAAGTGCTGCCAGCGAGCAGCACTCTGCCAGGTTGGGCAGAGGGCGGACAGACAGACAGCTAGGGGCTGATGGCAGCTGGAAAGTGCAATTCTGTGCAGCGGGTGGAGAAGCCTGTGGAGCAAACGGCCAAGGCAGACCCAGGAAAAGAGATAGAAATAGAGGACAGGAGCACGCCGTAGCACGAGGAGGTTGAGCTCTGTCTACCAGATGGTTTTATTAGCTTTCCTCACACACAGAAACAACTGCTATCAAAGCCATAATATTTACAGAACGTATCTTCCTTTGAACACATACAAGCCCGTCCTGCATACAAACAAATAGCTGATATCTGTAAATCTTGTGTTGGAAATCAAAATTTTAGGCAAACATGCTCAGGATGTTGCCCGCAAAAGCAGAAGCTGAGAAACCTTGGGTAATTCTGCTCTTTTGTCGAGCACACGGATAGATCGGGCAGCGAGCGTTGTGTTGCATGGCATTATGCTGGTGTACCTCGATGCATTCCTATTCGTGACCTGTTTGCACTTGAAAGGGTTGGCTTGGCGAAAGGGTGTGAGATTCTGTAGTTGGGGACACAAACACAGAGTTTTGACTGACTACAAAGGGAGTATAGAAGATAACTCAGATGAAACCCTTAACTTTTAGATGACTAAAGCCAAGTGAGCGGTATTGATTCACCACGTCTTAGGAAAAAAAGATATTCCTGAAAACCTAAGTCATCTCCCCGCCGTCTGCCTGTGCTCTGGTTCATGTGCAGATCTAATTGTTCAGTTAGCTCCAAAGAGCTAAAATGCATCAAAATGCACATAGCAGCACGGTCTTGGAAACTGTGTGTTTGAAGGTCAAGTATCACTGTGAAATTGCGGTAGACAAGTGGCAAACCTAGATCTGAATCAGAAAGAGAAGTTTTGGAGCAATGCTAAGCTTGTAGCGTGGAGTCCTAAAGACAGACCCTTGGAACGACAGGAGAAAATTTCAGCCAGTTCAGATATGAATATTTTGATAAAATATTTGATATGTATTATATATCAGATATATAATATTCAGATATGAATATTTTGGGATTGGGGTTGCTTTAAAATGAAATGAAAGAGGAACCTGACATTGAGAAAATCGGCTTTTCCCATAGGTCTAGTTTCTGAGACTCTTTTTTGTTAGTCATTTCCTGTACAAAGCCAAGAAGAGATTATAACCAGAACCCTGATACTGTCAAATGCAATGAAATAGTTCCCTGTTTGCAAGAACCCTTGAGAACACGACCTGCTTGGCTAACACCGAGAAAAGCGATTTGTGAAAGGACCTGAGAAAGACCCCATGCTGGACGCTGCACAGGCTCATCGAGGCAGGCTTCGGTCCTGTTTTCCAAGTGATAATTCCAGGAAACCTCATGAAGATCCCACCACGGGGGCGGCAGCTGGCGAGCGCGATGTAATGCGAGTCCGCAGTGCGTCTGCTCGAGTGAAGTTCTCCGGGCTGCAAGAGGAAAGAAGGTCAGACTTCTCTGGGTGGGTTTGTTGTTTTGTTTTTTTCCCAGCCTAATCAGTACCTCCCATCATCGGTTTTGAACCGATTTGAACAATTTGCACCAAACTGATTGGGGAATAGTGGTCTCTAGGATATTAAGACCTATAAATATTGTGGAAAAAGGTGGTAGGGGAATAATGAAATGATTATCCCACTGAAGGAACCCATCAGTTTAGGAATATCAATTGTAATATTAAACACCTGAGAATCCAGGTCAAATCTACCCTCAAACCCACTTGCTCTTTGACATCTCCAAGGACAAAGCTTTCATCTTATTATTTCCCTCCTCCAGATCTCTCCTGTCCAAAGCCAGGAAGGAGGCATCTCCCTAGCTTTTGCTCCATCTCTGTACATGCTCTTGTACCAGGCGTTTCACACCCATCTCCCCACACCCTGTCTTCCATCTCTCCTGTCCCTCATTTCTCCCTGCACTCCTCCGCATGGAAGCTGGCACGTGGCTGCAAAGATCTGCAAAGCCTAGCGTGGGGGACAGCAGAGTTGCTAACACGTTTCTCTTTCATCTCTTCCCTCCAGCTGTGCGAGGGGGAAGGAGAAGCAGCAGAGGTTTTGTAAGGAGCACATCATTCCTTGCCATGGAAAGAGCCAGCCCTGCTTGCTGGAGCCAGTCCGGTGGGACAACATATAACAGGAGCTGGCATCACAGGCTGCTGAGGCATGAGGGCAATGACTACAACTGGACGGACTGTGAAGCCGGTCACTTGAGCAAAGTCCTTGTCACACTGCTCATCTGCCTCTGTGGGCTGGTGGGGAACGGGGCCGTCCTCTGGTTCCTCGGCTGCCGCGTCCGCAAGAACCCCATCACCTTCTACGTCCTAAGCCTGGCCATCGCCGACTTCACCTTCCTCCTCTCCATCACCGTTGCCCTTGTGATATTTTATGGCTCAGAGAGCCTTTGTCACAGGCTGGCCTCACAGGACGTGATGACTGTGCTGAACATCGCCATCCTCTTCACTTTCACTGCCAGCATTTACCACCTGACAGCCTTCAGTGCCGTGGCATCTCTGTCCGTCCTCCCGCTGGCCTGCTGCCCCTTCCACCGCTCCCAGCGCTTGCCAGTGCTCGTGTGTGCCCTGCTCTGGGCCCTCTCCTTCCTGCTCACCGTCACCCTCTACTTCTGCCCTGCGGCGCTCGTTGTCTTCGTCTTGAGCTACTTCTTATCGGTGCTTATCCTGATTTTTTCTGGTCTAACCCTGCTTGCCAGGGTCTTGTGCTGTTCGTGGCAATATCCCCCAAGGAAGCTCTGTGTTGTGGTCCTGCTAGCTGTCTTCTTCTTCCCCTTCTTCACTGCTGACTTTGGTTACTGGCTCTTGCTAAGACTGTTTGATTTTTCTGTTTTTGTCTTTGACGCCTCTCTCCCTTTCGCCTGTGTGCACAGCAGTATCAACCCTCTTATTTACTTCTTGGCTGGGAGCTGTGTGAAGAAGTTCACACTCTCTGCTAGGGTTGCTTTCCAGAGGGCTTTTGAAGATGTAACAGAGCCCCAAAATAGAGGTGAAACTCCCAGAGAAAACACAGTGGAAATGGCTGTTTAAACCTCTGCAGCCTCTCCCTGAGAGAAGATGCTCTAGGGACGGAGGCGTCCCAGGAGCCAGGGCGAGACAAGGGAGACGGCTTCAGTGCGGGTCTGGCTGCGGCTGAACAGAATTAGCTGCGGCACAACAAAACGTGCTGGGTGGCACGGGAACTCCCGCCTGGGGTGGACACTGGACAGCGTGAGGAAACACCCAGCGAAACCTTTCGCTTTGAAATCTTTGTTTTGGATCTGTCCTGTTCAACAGGTCTGAGCTTTCCCTGTCTCAAAAGTGAGCTTTCTCTACCCCGTGCGCTATTAAAACAGAGCTGCGGAGGGTCTTAGCTCCTGCCAGTGGGTTTTTTGGTGTGTCTGCTTAAAGGCAGAGTGCAGGTGGATAAGAAAGATTGGCACAGCTGGGCAGAACAATTCCTGGGCAAACCCTTGTGCGTGCATCTCCGGCGGGTGCTGACACGTGTAAGAGTATGTGGAGACTTCACATTCAGCTTTGTTACCGGGCAAGTAGGCCTGTGTTTGGGATTGCCCCTGGAGCAATTGCAAAATTGCATTGCTTCTGCTGCAAACTGAGTTTTGTCCGCACATCACGTGGGTCGTTTGGTCACAAGGGTTTTTGACTGGAACTGCCTCTCGCGGTTCCTTCCACTTTTCTCGGGGCTGTTCGGATGGTTAGCTTGAGCAAATGCCATTTCGCAACCATGACCTGAGGTCTGTATCCATTTCTGGTGTGTCTGTTCCTCATCTAGGAAAACAAGAGGAGAGTAGGGTTAAAACGGACCAACCCAAAGAGCACAGCCCTGCCTGAAGGCTCTGTAAAGCATGAATTTTCCATGTGAAAGAGGATACAGGGAGAGGGAAGGAAAACTTTTTATGGAAAAGACCCTGTTGAGGCCATGAGGACTGAATCCCTGTAGCCTGGCTCAGGCACTCCCTGGGTAAAAGGGGTAGTGGCAGCACTTTCTCCCCTTCTCTCTCCTCTCCGTGTCTGTCAGCCCTTGCTGGGGATACACCAGCTCTCGTTTGCCTGTGAACTAAGCCACCAACAAACCATTGCTTTTGAGGTGGTTTAGTCGCCTGGTGCGACTCCCGACCAGGCTGCACTAACTTCAGTATGAGCACAAGGGAAAGGTTGGGAAGATGCAGCTGGCAGGGAGGAGCGGAGGGAGAAAAGGCATCAGCAAGGCAGACTGAAATAGCAGCCCCAGGAGCCACTGATGCCGTGGCCTCCGGGATCTGGGATGGTGACGGAGGTTTCTCTGCCCTTTGGCTTGTCCCTCAGCCCAGAGCTACGTCACCGGACAGGCTGGAATGAAAACTGATCACTTGGTGCAGCACAGGTACGGTGATAGCTAAACCCATAAAATTCCCTGGTAAAAAGAAGAAGCTCGGAGAGGTGGAGGCCTGGGTGACGCTGCAGGCAAGGGAGATCCTGGGAAGCGGGAAAAGCACATGGGAGGATCGTGGTCCTTCTGCACCTGCGTTGGGAGACTCTCCCCAGATGATGGGAGCCCTTTGCTGGACAACAGGTTGCAACTCAGAATGTTCTTACTTTCCAAAGGACAGGAAAGTGGGAGAGAGGGAGAAAAAAACCCCTTACAACCTTGGAAGACTCCTGCCCTGTTCTGTAAAACACCTCTATTAATAAATGTTTCTTAGATGTTTAATTCCATCATGTCTCTTCAAAGCATGCCTCACCACCCATGGGTTATCCTTTAGCTTCTCTTTCTAAAAGCAGTGGCATGTTAGTTACCCTTGGATTTAAGGCAGTGGGAAAAGGACGGACAACTTCCCACTGTGTAAGAGGCAGGGAAATGGTTTCCTACCCGTAAATGGGGCGATCTCCCCTGGCAGGCTGTGTGCCTCCTTTCCGCTTGCCCCGGCAGTCTCCCAGTTGCTGGGATGCTGCAAGGTCCTTTCCTTCTGGTCTTTCCTCTGCCCTTCCACCTCTGCCTGCCTCAGCCGGCCTCAGCCCTCCACTCTACAAGGAGCTGCTCTCCTGGTATGAGAGGAAAGCCTTCAGCACGTGTGGGCAGCTCCGCTGCCATGGTTTGGCTCAACTGGAGGCTTCTTATAGTGAGATACATCTCTGCTAACTGCAAGTATCCCAGACAGATGTCGTCTGCTGCCCAGGTCCATCCCAGAATGAACAAGGAGGTCTTGGCACTGTCAACACGTGGCTCATCCCAACTATTGCAGGCACCTACCTCAGGATGAGGTACATCATGCTTTGGAGGCACCTAGCCTCCTCGTAGACAAGGCAGAGGCTTCAGAAAGAGAGAAAATGAGCCATTTTCGGACAGAGTCGAGTCAGCCTTGCTCTGTTCACCAGTGACAAGCTGTGCAGTGAAGCCCAGTTCCTGTGTATTCACCAGACTTTGGGGTCAGAGTTACCATGTTGGAAACAAAAAAAGAAATCCAAATTTAATTTAGCAGTAGTAACAAAATGATGCCGCAGGTAGGTAACTAGAAAAAGATCAGTACAATGAGGACTTTGGAGTGTGTGGTTAGTCGTTGAAAGAGCTGTGCAGAGGAGATGCTCATCTGCTCATCTCCTGCTGAGGACGGCCAGGTGCAGGATGGAGACAGTGAAGGGATTCCTCTTGACGCTGAGGCTGGTGAACCAAAGGATGGCCCCACTCCCCGCAGATAGAGGCAGATAAGCAGTGTGATCCTCCTAATTTCCATAAAAGTAAGTGGCCCATACATCTGGTTATGTTCATTTTCATATTTCAGGCTCTTTTTGGTCATGGACACAGAGGTGTGTTCAGTGGAGTTATTATGAAATCTTTGCCGCGAGCAAAGAAACTACAGGAATTAGTGTCTCTGACTTGCCAAGACCATCTGCTCTGGTAATCCCCTGCCTTGCTTCATGGCATGGCCTGGAGCCGTGTTTGGGGAGTGTTTGGTGAGCTGTGCCAGAGCAGGTTCCCGTCTCAGCCTCTGCAGCTGGTATTTGCCTGTTGTGCTTCTCTCTGGCATGAGAAAAGTGATCTTTGGCATCAGGCACCCTGAGTTGCACTGCGTTATCTCAGTCTTCACCTTGAAATATTGCCTCTCCAAAATCGGTGCCTTTTCTGGAGACATAGCTCCCCCCATCTCCCCTTCCAAGTTTGGAGGGCAAGGTATCATAGCCTTGGCTGAAGTAAGGTGAAAGAGGCTGAAGCTTCCTTTGCGATGCTTTTGTCCCATGTGGACAAAACTTTTGTGAAGACATTGAAAAGTAAAACATGTCTTAAAATCCTCTCTTGGTTTTCCTGTAGGGACTGATAGGAGCAGGGCTGGAGCAGATTCCCAGCCCCCTTGCAGGGACGCTTACTGTGCTGTCCGGTCCCTGAGAGACCCCAGCAGGGAGGTGACAACCTCCAGCATACAATGTCTCGTCAGCCAGCCGTAATCTGTTGCAAAAAGCCATGTTCCCGTGGAGCACAGCCGGAAAGCAGCACCTTGCGTGAACGTCTTGGCATGAACATGAGTGCCGGGAACACACCACTCATAATCCCCCGGCACTGTCGAACCCATACTTTTCTCAGAACGATTTAACCCTGGAATTAAACAGTATGACAAATTCCCACGTATAGCTCAAGAGAATGCTCTTGTTTCTTCCCCAGCTCCGCAGCCCGACCTGCTGTTGGTTTGTTTCTCTTTCCATCAGCTGGGAGCGCAGGGCCAGCTCTGCTGAGCGGCTCTTTAGACAGAAGAGCAAATATGCTCCGTGCGATCCATACCCCTCTCCTGCCATCTAGAGGCATCAACCCTGCAGATATTTGTGAAATCACCCCTGGCCCTGTGCTGGATGTGACCCTGCAGCCCTCCGAGCCCTCTGAGTGGGTCCTCATAGAATCATAGAATCGTTCAGGTTGGAAAAGACCCTTAAGATCATCAAGTTGGACCATTAACCCAGCACTGCCAAGGCCACCACTAAACCATGTCCCTAAGCACCACATCTACCTGGCTTTTAAATACCTCCAGGGATGGGGACTCAACCGCTTGCCTGGGCAGCCTGTGCCGGGGCCTGACAGCCCTTTCATGGCAATGCCTCTGTGCCGAAGGAACCAGGGTGAGGAGGGGGTTGCACTACCCCGCGGATGAGCCACACAGTTCCCTCCCACGGCAGCAATTGCCTCTACTCCTTGCTCAGCCTTTCACTTCAGCACGGGTGCGGTGGTGTCAGCGAGATGCCCGCATGACCCCCTTGTCTTGCCCATTTTTGCAATCCTTTTGGCAGACCCATGCCTTGCTTGGGCAACAGAAATGGCCAAAGCTCTCCCACAGCCTAACGTGTCAGACTTTCCCCAGGCAAGAGAACCCCCAAAACACCGCGAAACTCATCTGCTGAGCAAAGGGAGCCAGAGTTTATTCGCTGGGACCAGAGCAACGAGGGTCATTGCAATGGGGAATACAGCCAGGCACGGGGACTGAGCCCGCTTGGGTCTGTGCTACGAGCACCCATGCCTCCATCCCCCAGGTTGTCTGCAAGGCTCCACATCTCCAGGCCTCCTCGCCAGCGGTGCCTTATAGAGTGGTCTCCACCGCAGTGTCCCCGGGCACGCGGCTCCCCTCCTCGCTCGTCGCTTTCTCTTCGAACACTCGGCGGAGGGCAACTTTTGCAGAGTTCTGGAACCGCCGCCGCTGGCAGCTCCCCACCAGGAAGTAAATGAATGGGTTGATGCTGCTGTTCAGTGACGCCAGCAGGTAAGAAATATGCAGGTAAACCAGGTTGAAATAAATAGGATCAATAAAAATCACCACACTGAAAGGAAACCCAAAGATGAACAAGAAGATCAAACTGAGCAAGACAGCAACATAGAGCTTTCCTGGGTGTCTTCTCTGTGAGCCACATCGGAGTTTGATAAACAGGGAAAGGTTGGAAAGAAATGGGAATAAGGAGAAAATGAGAAAATTCACAATGCTTACGCCTCGTAATAGCATTACACAGTCTATATTCAAAGGGAAATAACAACTAATGAAAACCAAAGTAACAAAAAGCCCGGCAAAAGCCCAGAGCACCCCACACATGATGCCTGACAAGTGCTTTGGGCGGTGGCACCGGTACCAGATTGGGAACAAAACAGACAGGCACCTCTCCATGCTCATTGCTGTCAGGAGATACATGCTGGCAAAATACCAAAACAGAAACAGATCCATCAGGATGTAATTGGTCAAACGATATTGAGATGAGAAAATACAATAAACTGTTGAAATAAAGTGTAATATAAGTTTAACAAGAAGGAAGAGGAGCAGAGAGAAGTCAGCGATGGCCAGGTTTAGGACGTAGACAGTGAAGGGGCTCTTCTTCATGTGGAAGCCCAGGAACCACACGACCACCATATTCCCCACAAGTCCGCACAGGCAAATAACAATACAGATCCCTGAAATTATCAACATACTATAACTTTGTGTTATGCACTCAGATTGCTTAACTGCCTGAGAGTCTGCATATCCAGAAGTCGTGTAGTTCAGAGAGAGGTCTGTTGTGGTGGTCTTCTCCATGGTGAATGACCCTGCTCTGGCTGTTCACCTTCTCCCTCTCCCACCACCTCCTAGGAAAGATGAGGAAGGAGAAGGCAATGAGGGGCATCGGAGCTCCCAGCACTCGCCATCTTTCCCCACATCCCCACACCAGCCCCGGGCTGCGCCAGGAAGGACCCCATCCTCTGCTGTGCCCAGCACAGGCTCCCACCCCTCCAGCCCTGTCCCTGGCCAGGAGGCCTCCCCCCTGCCCGTCCCCGGCCTCCTACCTCCTGGTGCTCCTGGGAACAGTGCTGCCGCAGGAGCTCCAGCACACGAGGCTTCCAGGCTCACCAGGAGAAAGGGTCTGGTGATGGCTGCTGTGGCCGCCCCGCTCTGCTTTGGCCTTGTCCCTTGTGCTTGAGGAGCAGACCTTTGCCCAGAGATCACGTCCCGTGGTCAGGAGACTCCCCTCACAATCTCACCACATCGGTGACAGCTTCCCCTCACATGTCCCACAAACGGTGATCTTGTCAGTAGGACTTGGCCACATCACCCCCTTCCTCTCCTCCTGCCGTCCTCCAGCTTTGTCCCACCATGAGAAGGGTTTCTGGCTTTCGTTGTGTGTACCTGGTGGTCCAAGATGTTCCCCTGCTCTCCCTGGGGGCACTTTACCCCCATACAGAGGCTTCACCATAATGTGTGGCAAAACCTGGAACGTACTGCAAGTAACTCAGCTGTAGCCCCAAAACCATAGGAGAGAACCCCCTCAGAGCCAAGGGCAAGCAAGACCTTCTGCTTGGAGGTGAAGGAGGAGAGAGGAGCATCATACCAATACAGGATGATGCTGGCTGGACAGTTCATGTACAAAGTGGGAGGTGTGTGAAGGGCGTATTGTCCCAGACCAGGAAGATTTGGGGCCAGTTTTGCAGAGTAACGTGGTCTCCTGTTACTTTCCAGCAGCGCCGCTTGACTGCATGGGGAAAGCTCCATCTGTCAATGCAGGAGGGTACCTAGATCATTCCCAGGGATGGAGGATGGCAGAAAGGTGAGAGTGAGAGAGACAAGCCAGGGACCCTCAACAGTTGGAAATCACTGATGTGCAGAAGTGCAACAGCATGAGGGCTTTGCTCAGTGCCTCTAATGACATGTAACCCGGTGCTCAAAGACTTCTCCCAGCTTTCTTCTGGGAGACATTGCCATCAGGCAGAGGCTTTGCTTTAATCTGTCAAAGCATGGAACATAATACTTGTGAGAAATTTGATGCTACAAAGCCATAGACAAAATCAATAAAGGGAAATGTTTTTCACAGTGGAGGTGAAGAAAGGAAAACACACACTGTTATTGTAGGACGATGATGAGCTGATTTTTATAGGCCCAAAACTGTGGGAAAGGGGAATAAAGGGACTTAATCTCATGAAGCGTGACTGAACGACATAGCACGCTAAACTGTCTGTGTGAAGCACTCTGATTCTCTCTTCCAGGGTCCTGAAGGCAACAACAGGACTCATTTGCCCTGATCCCACCCATTCATCCCCTGCCCACGGGACCAGGGGTTCCAGTTAGGGTCAGGCCTGAGCAACCAGGCTTTGCCTGAGCTATGCAGGAGTTGCACCTGTCTGAAGACCTGTCTCCATCCCCCTCCCATGGATGGACCTTAGGCCTATGCTCTAGCCTTGTTTGAAGTCTATCTCTGGCCCCAGCTCCTGCAGCTCCAGGCTGGACCCCCTGGAGACACTGCGGACCTTGTTCATTACTGTGCGTTCCCCACATGAAATCAAAGGACATCCTTGGAGGACATCAGTCTTGGGGATGACAAACATAGTCAATAACTCCCAAGAAGAGGTATTGAAAAGATGGAAAACACATGAAGGAGGGAGAGAAAATAAGCAATGAAAATGCCAGCCCCTGTGATGCTAAAGGACAAGATTGTGCAACAGGAACCACTTGTAGATAAAAGCACATTTGAAGCACTATGTACCCTACAAAATGTAATCTCAGAGGAGACACATGCATGTCAGGGGTGTGATTAGAGGCAGAGGGCAAAGCTCTCATGCTGTTCTGTATCTGAATACTGGTGATTTCTCACGGCAAGTTGAGACAACGCCAGTGCTCTGCCTCATTGGCTGCTGTTGAGGGCCCTCTGTTGGCATCCCAGGTGCAAGGAATGGGTGTATGATGAGGCCTGGAGGGGCAGAGGAAGGGATGGGCATGACCAGGAGTGGTTCTGCACCCGAGGAATGATGGGAAGAAGAAGGAGAATTAAGGCCATGGGACTGTCAAGGACTTCTGAGGAGTTTCTGCTGGTTCATCCCCGTTGTTGATGGTCCCTGGCTCATCTCACTCATTCTCATCTTTCTGCCCCTCTCTTGCCCTGCCAGATCTCTTCCGCACCACCCCCTTGGCGATGCACACTGTAAGGATAGTGAAGGAACAGAAGAGAGCTAGAGGAAGTCTTCCACCACCAGCTTTGCACAGCAAAACCCAGGAGACTCCGGCATGGCAAGCTGAAGCTGGAGGATGGGGGTGTAGAGATCCTGACCAGAAGACCATTATACATCATGGAGTTAGCGAGCCACAAAACACTCAGCCTGAGTAGTCCCAGCTCTGTGCTGTGCCGTGCTGTGCCGTGCTGCACTGTGCCGTGCTGTGCATCTCCCTTGGCCATGGGATAAACCTGGTCGGTTGACGATAAGGGAGGAGCCTGCAGGCAGCTCCCACTGGGTGCTGGTGGTTACACCTTGCCTTTATCTAAGACTGCTGCAATGGTTCACATGTGAACATCCTTCTGTTTGTCAGGAGAATGAGTTGTTTTCTTTTTTAAGAAAATCCTATAAAAGCTCCAGCAACATAGTGGGGTAACCTTTCCATGGACAGGATCTGCCCTGATCAGAGGCCTGTTTGATGCTGCAAGACCTGAGGTTCCCAGCACCTGAAGGGACATCAGATTATTTGTGCTATCCTCTCCGTCCTCATAGTTTTAGATCTAGTAAATGGCATTTAAAATTATACTCTACGGAGTCTGAGTGCCTTTCTTAATGGAATCATAACAGATCAGCACCTCCTGGTAAAAAACTGGGGGGAGGAGAGGAAGAGGGTGATGTGGCCAAGTCCTACTGACAAGATCACTGTTCGTGGGACATGTGAGGGGAAGCTGTCACCGATGTGGTGAGATTGTGAGGGGAGTCTCCTGACCACGGGATGTGATCTCTGGGCAAAGGTCTGCTCCTCAGGCACGAGGGACGAGGCCAAAGCAGAGCGGGGCGGCCACAGCAGCCATCACCAGACCCTTTCTCCTGGTGAGCCTGGAAGCCTCGTGTGCTGGAGCTCCTGCGGCAGCACTGTTCCCAGGAGCACCAAGAGGTAGGAGGCCGGGGACGGGCAGGTGGGAGATGCCTCCTGGCCAGGGACAGGGCTGGAGGGGTGGGAGCCTGTGCTGGGCACAGCAGAGGATGGGGTCCTTCCTGGCGCAGCCCGGGGCTGGTGTGGGGATGTGGGGAAAGATGGCGAGTGCTGGGAGCTCCGATGCCCCTCATTGCCTTCTCCTTCCTCATCTTTCCTAGGAGGTGGTGGGAGAGGGAGAAGGTGAACAGCCAGAGCAGGGTCATTCACCATGGAGAAGACCACCACAACAGACCTCTCTCTGAACTACATGACTTCTGGATATGCAGACTATAGGGAAAATATTGAATATGAATGCTCAAGAGTGCCTTACGGATTGGTGGTCTTTGCAGGTGTCTGTGTAGTGATTTCTCTCTGTGGACTTGTGGGGAATGGGATAGTCATGTGGTTCCTGGGCTTCCACATGAAGCAGAATCCTTTCACTGTCTACATCCTAAATCTAGCTGTTGCTGACTTCTCTCTGCTCCTCCTGTTTTTTCTGCTCACACTGGCATTTTTGAGCTTAACAGCAATGTGTTCTTATTTGCATTATTTTCTTTCTTTCTACACAGATTTTGTATCTGTAGTTGAATTTCTGTGCCACTTCTTTGATCTTAGCAGCCTGGGTCTCCTGACAGCAATCAGCGTGGAGCGGTGTATCTCTGTCCTCTTCCCAATCTGGTATCGCTGCCACCGCCCAAAGCACTTATCAGGTGTCGTGAGTGGGGTGCTCTGGGCTTGCGCTGGATTTTTTGTTTCCTCAATGTATCTTAGCTTTAACTTTGCTAAAAGGTATACGACAGTATTTGGAGGTCTGGCCATTGCAATTTCCATGATTTTGTCATCAATGATGTTGGTTTCCAACTTGTCCCTGTTTATCAAACTCCGATGTGGCTCACAGAGACGACACCTAGGGAAACTCTATGTTGCTGTCCTTCTCAACATGATCTTCTTCTTTGGCCTTGGTATTCCTTTCACTGTAGAGGTTTTCTTCAACCTTCCAAGTTCATCTGAATTGCTTCCTGGCAAAGCATCCTTCCTGCTGGCATTGCTGAATTGCAGCAGCAATCCAGTCATTTACTTTCTGGTGGGGTGCTGCCGGCAGCGCCGGTTCCAAGGCTCCGTGAAAGTCGCCTTCTGCCGAGTGTTCGAAGAGAAAGCGACGAGCGAGGAGAGCCGCGTGCCCGGGGACACTGCGGTGGAGACCACTCTATAAGGCACCGCTGGCGAGGAGGCCTGGAGATGTGGAGCCTTGGATGCAGCCTGAGGGATGGAGGCATGGGGGCTCGTAGCACAGACCCAAGCGGGCTCAGTCCCCGTGCCTGGCTGTATATTCCCCATTAATGACCCTCGTTGCTCTGGTCCCAGTGAATAAACTCTGGCTCCCTTTGCTCAGCAGATGAGTTTCGCGGTGTTTCGGGGGTTCTCTTGCCTGGGGAAAGTCTGACACGTTAGGCTGTGGGAGAGCTTTGGCCATCTCTGTTGTCCAAGCAAGGCAGGGGTCTGCCAAAAGGATTGCAAAAATGGGCAAGCCAATGGGTCTTGGTGGGTGATGCAGGGATTAGTGGTGTAGAGAATATGACATAGGGTAAAATTACAATTTGGAGAATAAGAAGAAAGAGAAAGAGAGAAAGAGAGAAAGAAGGAAAGAAGGAAAGAAAGAGAAAGAGAAAGAAGAAAGAAAGAAAGAAAGAAAGAAAGAAAGAAAGAAAGAAAGAAAGAAAGAAAGAAAGAAAGAAAGAAAGAAAGAAAGAAAGAAAGAAAGAAAGAAAGAAAGAAAGAAAGAAAGAAAGAAAGAAAGAAAGAAAGAAAGAAAGAAAGAAAGAAAGAAAGAAAGAAAGAAAGAAAGAAAGAAAGAAAGAAAGAAAGAAAGAAAGAAAGAAAGAAAGAAAGAAAGAAAGAAAGAAAGAAAGAAAGAAAGAATTGGAAAACAAAAGAAATACAGAGAAAAGTGAGCTGTCTCTATGGTGCTGATGGATGAGGTTTGGAGAGACAAGAATCTTGCAGATAAAATCCCATTTGCAGCCCTATGTAACCCACAGATGCAATCTCTAAGGCGACAAACCTGGGGAGTTTCATCAGAGGCAGCGGCTGAAGCCCTTATGCTGTTGCATGTCCACACACTGGTGATTTCCCAATGTGGAGGGTCTCCTGGTCCAGCACCAGGTACACACAGAGAAAGCCAGAAGCCCCTCGCATGGTGGGATGACACTGGAAGGCGGTGGGAGGAGAGGAAGAGGGTGATGTGGCCAACTCCTACTGACAAGATTGCCATCCATGGGACTTGTGCCCAGCTCCTGTGGGGCAGAGCAGAGGGGCAAGTGGATGGGGTGGTGATGCGCCTCCTCTGCCTGGGACTGAGGTGGGGAAAGCCACCAAAGCAGCATCCTCCTCGAAGCTGGTGCCTCTCCTCATTCCTGGTATGAGGCGACACTGCACAAGGGGCACAGGCGAGGTAGAGCAGGGGAGGAAGAGCGACCCTGGATGTTGGCCAGGTCTGGACCCTGCATGCCAGCTTCTCCCTTGCTTTGACCTGAGGCCAAGCCTGGAGGCCTCCCGTGCCACGTGGCAGCCCATGGGGAGGCTGCTCCCAGCAGAGATGGATTTTGTTGCAGCTACTCCAGGTTCATACAGAGACATCCACTGGTGCAAACGCCATGTGCTGGTGGGATTGGGGAGTGCTCAGGCTGGGGAACGTGGGGGTCAGCAGCAGCTGAAGATGCTGAGCCCCACAGGCAGCCCAGGGGGAAAGAGGGCCCCCATGCCCTGGACCCATCATAATAAACTCTTGCTCCTTTGGTTAGTGAATGAGTCTTTGTGGTCTTTTGGAGGAATCTAAATCTGCTTTTTGGAAGCTCAGTCTAAATCAGAGAAAGAAGGGAAAATGTTCTGATCAGAACATTCAAAGAAATAACAGGGGGTCATAGCCTTTTCTTTTTTGTTTTCATTTTACAGGGCAGCACTTTCTCTGAAGCCATTTCATGTTAGTTAACAAGGTTTGGAGAACTTTTGATAATTGATGACAATATTGTTTTAGCAGAGATTTCACTAGAAACCGTGAAGCCTCCCTACTGTCTTCTCCCCTTACCTCGTTATGCTCTCAGCTCCACTGATTGTGTTTAGGGGATCTCTGTGTTTATAGTGGGGTCACCTGGCACATCTGTGACTCCTGCAGTGCAAGAACCCAAAATCCAGTGACTTAAATCCTACTTTTAGAAGGCTAAAGACAAATCCCTCCCACCCCAAATACTTAATTTTATTTCAAACTGAAGTTTTCTTCAACAATAAAAAAGAAAATCACTGTAACAATGGAAGTATTGCTGTTTCTTATGATAGTCTTGGGACATAACCAAGGGAGGATTTGTAGGTACAGGCAGTATCTCTGGACCTTGCTGGAGCTGACTCTCACATAAATGCAGTTCTCATGAAAGCTTTGCTCTTTCATGGGCCAGAAGCGGCCTGAAGAAGCTCTGAAAAACAGCCAAGGTGTTTACACAAGTGTAAATGTCTGATGCAAGTGGCATAGGTGGAGTGCCTGAGCCCTGGAGCTTTCTAAGCACAGGATGCTGGTACCATAAAGATGGCACATGAACACCTCCCATGGGTTGCAGATCAGAGGTGCCGGGATGGCTAGAGGTACAGGTGGAATTGGGGAACAGGGATAGTATAAAGTGTTTGCATGACAAAGGATTTGCTTGGACAGGACAGATGAAGAAGAATATCCCCAGAGTGCTAAATCTTCATGCATAGTTGGGTCAGTCACACAGGGGCTGGTCCTGCTCCCTCTGGAATCACTGGAGAAAGAGTTTTTCATCTGCCAAAGAGCAAGCGCAGCTGTGAAATACCAGACTAACAGCTGGAATTATCTGTTCTAAAATAAACTTGGCTTTTCCGTCCTTTTTCAGCCCACGCTGACTTGAAGGCTCTTCCTGTGTCTTAATTAAAAAATTATTTACCTGGTCCAGTCCCTATTTTCTGTCTTCATTTTCCATCTTCATTTTCCCCTTTATTTTCCTTATGATTTGCCTTATACTTAGTGCTGTCTTTGACAGTAATTCAAGTGTTATTTCCTCTACCACACATTGTACAATGAGTATTCCTGGTTTTTCTCAGATCCCTCCTTTTTGTCAGGAACTTCCCATAAAACCTTGATGCATATATTGCTGCTCTAATGCAAAGCACAGCTATAATGGAAACATATGCTAAGGAAGCTCTGGAATAGGTATGACGAACTGAGATAACAAGATGTATTTTAAGATGGAGAAAATCATATTGCCAAATATCCATTAAATTCATCAATTAAAAACAGAGAACAATAAAACCAAAACAATTAAGTAGGTGCTAATAGTCATATAATTACCAGGACAGAAACAATCTATATAAAAAAGGAGTATCTGTCAGCAAAAAAGGATGTTTTCTATACTGTTTATCTTCTGAAGTTTCTTTGAATTAGTCATTTCCTCTACTCAGAGAAGATTAGAAGTCATGAGCATTGCTGAGTGCCCTAAAACTCAGTCCGTTTTCAGAACAAATTGGATTTCATGAGCTCATTCCTCTTTTGGTTTGAGGTGATGCAAAGACAGCCTCTTTGTGAAAGGTCCCAAGAGATCCCAAGGGAACAACTTCCACCCATGGTGCAGCTGGGAAATATTAGACTTCCAAGTGACTGGTTGTAAATCAGAAAACATTCACATGGAAATTGTGGGGAAAATCAGCTGAGGTTGTGGAGTCGATCTGCTTCAACCCCACGTCAGATTCCCTACAGTACCTGGTTCAGGCCCAGGCACTGAGAGGAAGGTTTGTTTTTTTTTTTTTTTTTACTACAAATAACACCTTAGCTTATTGTTTTTAACCAGACAGATCTGGTTCCCCTCCATTCTGTTTCCGTATCTTTGACCAGAAGGCCCCTTGGTCATGGTCAATCTCTGTTTTTCCCACACCCATTGGGATGTGGCAGCTCCAAGATGGGACCTGGATAGGGACACACATTACCAGAAAAGTACAGACCTGGGCATAGGAAAGTTCCTATTTCCTTTTGCCTCTTAAAGGATGGGAGAGAACGAGGAGAAACAGGGAGAGAAACACCAGCAAGGAAAGCTTTCTAATGAGTCCTTTCCTCTGACAGAGGCGGGTTTGAGGTACAGGGGTTGATGTATCATGGCGGACCCTCAGAACATGACAGAAGTCCTCAGTTCTCTTTAAAACTGGTGGAGAAATGTGTCCCTAGTTCCCCTCTGCACAGGAGATCCCTTACCAATTACCGTCACTGGCAAAACAGACTTGACTTGGGGAAAATTAATGTATTGCCAATTGAAATAGATTTGGGTAGTGAGAGACAATTAAAATACGACCTTCCCCCCCCAGCCCCAGCTCAGCTTCACTCCTTCCCTCCAGACTCCTCTACCCCCCAAGAAGCACAGGGGTGCTCGAGGGAGTTACAGTCCGTACATAGCGGTTTCTCTCCCGCTCCTTCCCTCTCCCACTTTTCCCCTGCTCCCGCATGGATCCTGCTCAGGCGACAATTCCTGTCAGGTACCCCCCATCTCCTCTGGCGCAGGGTGCTCCCCAGCTGCAGAGCGCTGCTTCCCCTTCTCTGTCCTCGCTGTTCTTCCCGCCATTTCTCGCTCTTTTTCCCTCCCTCTCTGCCTCTCTGGTGTTTTCTGTCCGTTCTCAAATAATGTTTTCACATCGGTGCCACAGGATCCCGTGAAGGGCTCAGCTGTGGCCTGCAGTGCAGCCGCCATGGAACTGCCTGGAACCAGCTGGAACCGGCTGCAACCGGCTGTGCCCAGCGCAGGGCAGCCCCTCACTCCCCTCACAGAGGACCCTGCAGCCCGCGCTGCCAGCAGCTGGCCACAGACACCCAGGACACACATATACACACATTATTTTTTGTACTTAAGACTTTGGGTTTTCCCTGCTCTGGTCCCTCTCCCGTGGGACACACACACGGGATCTGCCGTCTCCACAGCCACTTCTGCCGCAGCCTGCATTCGCCTGGAAACTCTGACAGGAGAGACTGGAGGAGATGAGAGGCTGAATTTGAGAAACTTCTGAGGTACCGGTCTGGAAGGAAGGGCAGCCAGTTTCTTGAGCTGATTTTCACACATTGTAATTGATATGTTGTTGTTAATTCTTTCACTCCTCCGTTCTTCTCTCCACTTCTCCATCCCGCACCCTCTTTACCTAAGGTCAGCCAGATCCCTGTATGTTCCC